AGTACTGAGCGAAGATGGGCGTTAATGAAGGTCTGTAGTTTGTTTGAAGTGCTACTTGTGACGCGTCAAGTCTCTGATCCGTATAGTAGCACTAACTGACTTCACATTGGAGTTGAAAATCCGGATTTTATTTCTGATGTTGAGTAGTGCTGTTGACCTCCACACAGACTTGAGAGTAATGAGAGCTTGTCTTGCTTTTCTGATTCTGGCTGTGATATCCTCGTCAGTTCCGCCTGTAGTTGAAACGATGCTTCCAAGGTCAGTGAGTGAAGGAGGTTGTTTCCTTCAGGTTCCTCCCATTTATGCTGGCTGATTGTTGCCCGTTGTTGTTGATAGTGTTGCTGTTCCTGTTGGCCAGGAATCTTCATCACCTATCTCTGTTTTCTCTATGTTCACCTGAAGTCCCATCTTCACTGGATGCTTCTTCTGCCAGCTTGTTGCTTTTCACTTGCATATCTTCCAGTTTGTGGGAAATTAGACATAGATCATCGGCGAAGTCCAGACCCTCCAAGTTTTTTGTGTGAGTCCATTTTATGCCTGTTTCCTCGTTGCCCGCTGTTTGTCGCATTATCCAATCTACTGCAATCAGAAAAATCATTGGCGATAGTAGACAGCCTTGCCTCACTCCTATCCTCACTTTGAAGGCTTCCGTAAGTTTCCCGACGTGGATTATTTGGCATTCAGCATTGTCGTACAACTGTTGGATGAGGTGTATAACAGTCGGTGGCACCTCGTAGTAGCGAAGTAGTTGCCAAATGACCTCTCGATCAACGCTGTCGAAGGCTTTTTCAAAGTCGATGAAGTTGAGTGGCTTCTCCTAAATCCAGCTTGTTTCAGTCGAAGTTTTTCATCCAGGGCTTGTTTGATTCTCTCCTGGATGATGCGGCTCTTCATTTTGGAGCTAAGACATATACATTCTTAAACCTTGTCTAGCCAACTATTCGGCTGTCAACCTGGAGAAGAGGGAGGGCGAGGGTTGAACGCGGTGGGCATAGTAGTCACTTGCAGTAAAAGTAACATTAGATTACCTCCTATCTCGTGAAACCTTAAAAGTCCTATCTGCCTATGTTCTAGTTGGAATGGAAAAGGATAGATTTTTGAGAAATCTCTTGAAAATGACATTGTTCAACCTTTTTTTTCCAAATGCCCAATAATATTTCTATTTCTAGTCTTAACCCAGTGGGTATGTACTGTCGATGAGTTCGATGCACTAGGACGAATCAGCCGACTGTCATTTCTCTAACTGACATCAATCCGTGGTCAAACTGGAAACAAATCAAACCGCTGCAAACAAACCCTTGAAAATTAAATGAATGCTCTCTGTGCGTCGATGACGCAGTGGTACAGCGCTTACTGACCACGCTTCATGTGGTCCGGGATTCGATCCCCGGCCACAGATGCACTGCCTTGCCTCGCTAAGCCAGTACTAAGACTGGTAAAGAGGGAAGGTTTTAAAGCATGAGGCTAGCAACCTCATCCGGTGAAAATAATCACCACTGCTACAGAAACTTCAAGCCTCTAGCCTGAAGATGTCCTATGTTCCACTGGGAACGTAAAGGAATACAAGAAATACTCGCTAGAGACTGGTTACAAGACAAAATTAGTTGACTGGAGTTCTATTGAAAAGTCCTGACTGGCAGTGGGGTCCACTCGGTCAAAATTGAGGACAAACACTTGTCATCGCGATGACACTGGCTGATGCCAGCCGCACTAAAATCACGAAATGTCGTAGAAGTTGGGATTTATGGACATACTTAATGTGTGGGTGTGGGCTGATGACAAGTAAGATTTGACTGCTCAGGTTGGAGAAAGTGAACCGGAACTTAAACTTTGAACCCATTTGCTGCTGGAAGTCGACGACTTGAAATCACGATCTATGTCTTGATTTATTATTATTATTGTTCCCTTGGGTTCCTAGTGGAACATAGGACTTCAACTGCACGTCTCCACTTGCTTCTGTTTCAACTCCTCTTCACACGATCTCTTCCATGTCACGCTTGCACTGACGTCCCACTCGCCGCTTCCCTTTCGGCCTGGTTCCACTCGAGCAATCGCCTGACGCACGCGCGATGTCACCCAGCGGCGGCCTACTCAGCCACGAGTGTCCAATCCATCTTAATCCACTTTCTCCAACTGCATATTTGTTGGGCGATTGGTTCTTGTTTTTTGTTAGTGCCCATAGTTTCTTGTTGGTGACTGTTTCCGGCCTGGCCATCTGATCTTCACTATAGAGCCAGCGAAGACAGTTGTTGATTGACAAAGGTCTGCAACGGGCTGTTGGAAATATTCTTTGTGACCCACCCGCAAACTTTCTGATCCGTATAGAAGAACTGACTGACTTGACGTTTGTATTGAAAATCCGACTGGAATTTGTTGTTGATGCTGACTGAGTGACGAAGATTTCCAGATGGGTTCCAAGAGAAACACATCTTGATTTATTTAGTGGTAATTATGAGCAATGAAAAGATGAACGTACTTTGAACCAACGAGAAGACTCAAGACTATCTTAACCTATCAAATAATTTGATAATTTGTTGCCGCTCAGATATAAAGATCTTCAGGAAGAAACCAAGAAACTGAGAGATGAGGGACGGAGAGAGGCAGCATAGATAGGACTTAAAGTGGACGTAGAGAAAACAAAGGTGATGATCAAACCCCACCGACAGATAACAACAATAAACATGAATCATAATCAGCAGCAGGGGAAATTCAAAGAAGGCCACCTTTTTCACTTACCTCGCATAGACAGCAACGTTTCAATTATAGGTAGGTGGCGTAGATGGAGATTTCAAAAAAGGCAGTAGGGATTGGGAAGGCAAGGCAGATAGATGTTTATGACTCTGTAGTTAGTGTTCACATTTACTGAATTCACTATGACGAATAAGATTTAGGTTCAGAAAATTCGCATCCACGTTACTTAGTAGTATTTTCAACAGGCCATAGACTTTCAACAGCGTCTATCCAATATGGTCGACACTAAAAAGATCAGATGGTTGGTTGGAAAGAATGAGCAACAAGGAACTAGGTCAATGGATCTAGAATCTGTCGCCTATCAAAAATATGCAGGAGAAAATAGAGGTGGATTGGACAAACTCTAGGGAGATCATTGATTGAAATCACTCCTTAGACAGACGCTAAAGTAAAATCCTAATTGGAAAGGACCAGTTGAAAGTTGGTCTTGCAGAGTGACATTATGGAGAACATGTGGAGAGGAAATGAAGGCTTATGAGCACTTATGGAGACAGATGACTGACTGAGTAGTTTCACCATAGAACTACTTTGCACAGATGTGCACCAGTTCGAGTTGCCACACATTCTCTCTCCTGCATGTAGCACAAAAACAAAGAGAAGAGAGTTAACAGAGATTCCACCGAAGAGAGAGAGAGACAATAAACAGAAATATGAGGATATGGACATGAAAAATCACAAATAGTGCATCACAAATAACTGCATCGCTGCCAGCCAACGTGAACGATTTTGAGTCATATCATTACCAACCGTCTCCAGCCTTCATTGGTTCCTACCATCCCGAGGACCTCAACCAGCCAACCAGTCAGCCTACACCTCCCTACGTGACTGGCTGGCCGGCCCAAACTAACTCTTGTGAACTTCATTGACTGATTCTGACTTTTGGTCTGACCACCACTAGCTCTTTTTCAGCTTCAATCATCATATGTCAGCTAACATTCTCCATCAACGAAGGTGATAGCCAGTCATGCATGACACATGCTCTAACCGTCTCAATCGATGCAGCTGCTTCACAACCTTGTCGATTGATTTCTTCTCCCACTGACCTAACACTCGACCGAAGCCTAACCTCAATATTGTTTACCTTACTATACCGCTCAACACGGGAGAGAGAAAGCCGACATCTTAGATCAAAGACAGCCAGCTAGCTGGCCAGGCTTTTCATGTCTTCCACTTTGAATGACCATGTCTCACTCACAGCCAACCATAAAGGAGGACGGAGCGGACTGGTGAGCAGTACACACACACACACACTGTGGCGCAGACGTGATATCCGGCTGGCTATCGATCGAAGGGCGTGTGTGTTTTGATCAGCAACAGCTCGCTGTGTCCTCCTGTATCGATGTCTGTGAGACCTGGCCATTAAGACTGGAAGACATGAAAAGGCAAGCTAGCTGTCTTTGATCGTAGGTGCCTTCGCTCTATCTACCGTGTGAAATGATATAATAAGGTAAGCAATATTGAGGATACACCTCAGTCGAGTGCTAGGTAAGGAGGGAGGGGAAATCAATCGACGAGGATGTGAAGTTACATCGACTGAGATGGTTAAGTCATGTGTTACTTATGCCTGCCTAGCCATCGCCTTCCTCGACCAATGGGCAATGTTAGCTGACAAAGGGTCAGGTTGGAAAAGAGCTAGTGGCGGTCAAACAAAAACATAGCACCAGTCAATGAAATCTACAACAGTTAGTTTACGCCACGTAGGGAGATGTAGACTTCCTGACTAGTTGGGGTCCTCCGGACGGTAGAAACCAATGAAGTCTCTAGACAATTGGTGATATGGCTCAAAGTGATCGTTCACAATGGCTAGCGCAGATGCATCCACTCCGTGTGACTTATGATTTCCAATGAAACTATATTGTTCTTCGTTACTTCTATTTCTTTGTCTCATACCTCTGTTTACTGTCTTTATTATGCATTTCTTTTACTTTCTTCTCTTGCTTTGTGTGCTACATGAAGGGAGTGTGGCGATTTGGACTGGTGCACATCGGTGGAAAGTTCTATGTCGAAAAGAGATAGATAGACAGGCAGACGCACATGCCTCTGTCGATAGCCGGAGCCAGATGCATCAGAGTGAATGAGAATAGTATGAAATCGAGATGTACTACTAAACCCGTATAAACCACTAAGAACTCAAGGAAATAATAATCATATATATATATATATATATATATATATATATATATATATATATATAATTATGCATTGCTTTGCTTTACCTTTTTTAAAAATTCTCTATTAATTTCTTACAGGGTCTATTAAATACCTACTTTTCTAATTGGCTTCAAGGTGGTATATCCCATCGGCTACCATGTACATACAATTGTATTTGTCGTATATCAGAGAGTACCCAGTTTGAATTTTATACAAGTCGATCTGCATGGGTACAATTCGGTGGTACAATACGTGTTGCTCATTTCTCTGGTCCGATAAAACCATGGCATAAAACATCAGCTGCTAAAACATGTAGTCAAGCAGCATTTCGTACATTCCTTAATACAAATACAAATAGACGTTCAATATCTCGTGTAGCTGGCATGTTAGCCTATTGGTGGTCACTATTTCTTATTTTAATACGACCACATTTTTCACCTGATATGGTAAGTCTTTTATAACAACATTGAAGATAAATCGCAAAATTATATAATATTCTTGTGTGTATACTAAATCATAACGTCGGTGGCACAGTGGTTAGGACTCTAGCCGACTCTAGCACATGGTTTGAGGTTCGATCCCCTGCCGACGCAAACCTGATATCTATGGTTGGTCTGCGAAATTTGGGCTACCGATATCGCATGCTGAAAATTCCATACTTGTACCCAAAAATATGGTGTGGAACCAAGCTATGATAAAAAATCATCGAATGCCCAAATTACAGACCGAGATTTAACAAAAAATCCTCCTAAAAGGACGGCAGCTCAGTTTGCCACACACCACACGTAGCAAGTATAGGTGGAGGAAAGAGGGAAAGGGATAGTTGAAAAGGCATACAATAAGCAGAAATTCGAGGAAGAATTACTTTGTAACATGAATCTTGGAGGTTATAAAGATAGAAGGTATCTACGCTATGAAGAAAAGTTCTTAGCCTCATCACCAACACACTCCATACACTGATTCTTAGTATCCCAAGGGCACTCAACCAGTCTGCCTATACATTGTTATGTGATTGGCTCAAACTAGATGAACTCATGGATTGATGATAATAATTAATAATTTTTCCTTCACGTTCCCAGTGGAACATAGGGCTTCAAGCTAGTGGCTTGAAGTTTCTGTAGCAGTGTTTAACTTTTACAGGATGTGGTTGCTAGCCTCATGCCGCACAACCTTTCCTCTTTACCAGCATTATTTCTGGCTCAGTGAGGTAAAGGAGTGCGCCGGCCGGGAATCGAACCCCGGACCATATGCATGGTCGGCGAGCGTGCTAACCGCTATACCACTGACGCACATGATGATAGGCTTTGTTTTAATCATCTGAAATTGTTTTCCAGCCTAATCCTATTTTCAAGAGTTGGTTTGTAGGGATTTGATTGGTTACAGGATTTCATTATGAGCTGTCATCGGTTAGAGAACCATTGGAAAACCCACCTGGGAGTACTGGACAGCTTTTACGTTCTAGTTCGAGATTCTTCATCAGTACGCACCCATCGACAGGCTTAGAACCCAGGACCTTCTGATTACAAGGTGAGTTGGTATACCATTAAGCCACTGGGACTCGATCCAATGGCGAACCCATGAATTCTAACTTCTGTCAATTCACGACATAAAGCGCCACCGCTAGCCAACATCTTCGGAGAGTATTTGTCCTCATGCCCGATCTCCTGCTAAGGGCTAGGGGTCACGTTATGTTGTGAATTGGCAGAAGTTAGAATTTATGGCCTGACCATTGGATCGGGTCCCACCCAGTGGCTTAATGGTCTACGAGCTAGCTCGTCTTGTAGCCAGAAGGTCCTGAGTTCGAACCCCATCGGGTGCGTACTGCTGAAGAGACACAAACTAGGACGAGACAGCTGTCCAGTACTCCCAGGTTTTCCAATGGTTCTCTGTCCGATTTCAGCTCATGATGAAATCCTGTAACTAATCCTATTTTAGCTAACATTGCTTGCCAAGAAAGACGACAGCTCGACGTGCGTAACTCGTGTCCTAGCCTCATGTCAATTGATTTACCTTCACAACTGTATCATTGAGTGAAGTCTACATTCTGTTTCTGTTCCGTAAAATGGCTTATTTTATAGTTAATAACAATGAAGGTGAGTGTAGAATAATGGATAAGGATGGAAGTTCTCTTGATTTGGCTGTAAATCTCCATTGAATGAAATAGTTAAGACATTTTTCACTCCTTTTTAACACTTGTTTATTCTCGGCTGGCAATGTTGACTGATGTAGCATTGAATCGAATGAAACAAGAGGTCTGTGGTGAGAGCTGTTTCCGCTAGCCAAAATTGTAGACAACACAATTGACGTCAATGTTTACTTCCCGGGGATCGGGGTCATGAGAGAAAACAATCACCATGCCTAACCTTGAGAGAAACTCATCAACCAATCACAGCAGACTTAACGTTTGCGAATACGATTCGTAGATATATGACTTAACTTTCTGAGAAGCACACCACCTGAGTGTTCGGCGAGCATTCTACCACTGTGCCATCGACTCACCGTAGCGTATTTAGTTACAAGTAAAATAATACATCTGAAGTGCATCATGTGACACAGTGTTGTTCTACTTGAAAAGAGAGATCTAGTTCGCTACGATGCATCTTCCGTTCATCCTCTTCAAGAACTGTACAACATTTCGCTGTTGAACTCACGTAGGGATCAGTGAATATATGTAATTTAAATAATTAATACAATAAGAAATGCAGAATAGTTTTAGGGATTATGATGGCTGTAAACGTTGCTAGATCAGTGATTTAAGCATGGCTGCCTTTGAAAAATAATTCAATGTGATTCAATCACCTAGACGATGCCCACGAGTACAGTAACGGGTGTGACTATCATAATGTCATTGAAAGCGGAGTAAAAGCAAGTTCATTCCTCTAAGGAATACAACATTTTTGTCCAAATTAGTAACGAATGGATTTATGTATACATACATATAAATATATATATTTCCTTACGTTTTGAAATTCATAATATCTAGAAGTTTCTTTTCAAACTGACATTAATGCATGCAATATTGTTATCAAGATTCTTTATGTATTATAATATTCATATTTCATACATTTGGTTCCCTTGATAAATTTCGATAGAGAAAGAAAGGCCAGATATGCAGTATAAAATGCGATATCATCATTCTATTTCACAGGTTCTCATCAGCCAGCAGCAAACCACTATCTAGAATTACGGTGACTATGAATAATAACATTTCACTACGTCGGTGGCATAGAGTTTAGGATGCTCGTCGACCATGCACATGGTCCAGGGTTCGATTCCCGGCCACCAACGCACTCCTTTACCTCGCTAAGCCAGAAATAATGCTGGTAAAGATAAGATAAGTTAAGCTTTATTCCAAATCAGTACTTGTGATACAGAATGGAATTCTCAGCATTTTACTACAATATTGCATCCAGTTAGTACATTAACAATAAATATAGTTCTACATAGATTAAGGTTATCTCAGTCAGTTTTGACAACAACATATTAGCATGTCGGTAGCAAAGCCAAAATTTAAAGAGAGTGTTTGAAGGTGTTAGAAAAGTAGATACTACTAGCATATTTACTGGCGTAAGCAATAGCAAAATGGTCGAGGTATACAGAGTGTGAAAGAACGAACAAGAATGTTTTAAGTAGAGTTTGTAAGGAAGAGAGAAACAAAACAGCACATAACAAAAATAAATACAGAAAGAGAAAAAAAAGGTAGAGAGAAAACGTTGTACCTGTAAATGATGTGAGTTGGAAAGACGAGATCCATTTGTTCTACTGACTATTTAATAAGTTAAAGGTTTCCCGCCTAACGCTTTCTTTATCGCACAGAACTCGAGCTAGGTAGGGTATGGATGAGTTTTTGTACTTGCTAGTGCGGGCATATAGTTTCCTATATAGGCTTCTGGTTTTCCCTGAAGAGATACATGGGGAGAGTTGTGAATGTAGAGGGTGTTGTGAGTCAGATAAAATGGATTTCGCCCATTTTTCACATGAGTCCATGTGCCTGTCCACCAGAATATTAACAAGCTGGCTAAGTGGCAAACTGCTTACCCTGCTGACAACCTTTAACATCCTACGTAATAAGGTATAGTCTTTCTTCAATAGCCCAGGAAAGACTAAGGGGGAACAATAGAGAATAATAGGCAGAATACGAGAGTTAACAAATTGTAGGAGTAAGGGTTGGGTTACACCAGAATGTCTTAACTTCTTGATGTAGAAGGTAAGACGGAATATTTTCTTGGAAATCGTCAAGATATGAGACGACCAGGAAAGATCAGAAGATAGAGTGACGCCTAGGTATTTAATTTCCGACTTGGTTTCAATTTCAGTGCCATCTATGTTGCACACCTCGTGAGTGCTAACCAGTTTGTTTAGGTCAGATTTGTGCCTAAAGGTGAAATTAACTGTTTGGCATTTGGAGGGGTTTAAGGTGAGACCGTTTTCCTGATAAAAAGCCATTTAGTTTAGAGCAGTCACTTTGACATTTGACAGGTAAAGATACAGTTAGGTCATCAGCATATTTGACAAAGTTAATGTCATTTGAAGATGGTAGGTCATGTAGAAAGAATGAAAAGAGAAGTGGGGAGAGTACAGCACCTTGGGGGACACCAGCTTCAGTGAGCACAGCAGAGGAGGATTCGCCTTTGTATACGGTGTACTGCATTCTGTTTGAAAAGTAGGAATGCAACCAGTTAGTGACCCAGGACTCGGTTTGTGTCATGGAGAGCTTATTTAGCAAGAGACATCTAGGTACAGAGTCGAAAGCAGAAGTGAAGTCAAGAAACGTGCAGCGGACATATTTGGCACCTTTGTCTAATGATGAGACAATACTGTTGTGTAAGACGGCTGCAGCGTCTAAAGTACTCCTACCCTGTCTGTAGGCAAATTGTTTGGGGTCTTCGAAGCTTTTAAGGGAGGGTTCAAGTTTAAGAAGTACTAGTTTTTCCATGAGCTTTAGAAACGGGGAAGTGATGGCAATGGGTCTGAACTTTACGTTCTTGCTGTTGCCAGGTTTAGGGACAGGGACTATTTTAATGTCTTTCCATGGAACAGGTACAACGTTTTCGGAGAAAGAAGCATTTAGGATATTAGTTAGAGGAGAGCATAAAGCATCTGCACATTGTTTTAGAACATATGCAGGTATGCCATCAGGGCCAAGACTATGTGAGGGCTTAAGAGTTTTAAGACATTTCAAAACATCGAGAGTACTAAAGTCCTGGAAGTTATCAGCTACAAGATTAGTAACGTTAGAAGTGGTTATAGTAGAAGGAGAGCGTATAAAAGACAGATTAAGAGCATTAACATCACAAGAGGGAAAAACATTACATCGCTTACTATTGCCAGTAATTTCATTGAAAAATTTCCACATGCTGATAGGAGATTTGCATGATAAAAGTGTTTGGTTATAGATAGCATTAAGATTTTTGATTTCAGATTTGATTTGAGCATTAATCTTTTTAAGTCCTAACTTGTCTTTGCATTTATATAACATTTCTTTTTGCCTGCGAAGTTGTTTGAGATGGGGAGACGAGAAGCGGTCGAGGCGTTTGAACAGTGTTTGTTTGGGACAGCATATGTCGAGGCAGAACTTGAGATAATCCATTATATTGGTGATTGAGTCATCTAATGTACTTTCATAGAATAGATCCCAGTTAGTATCTTTTAACATGCATCTTAGATTGAGTAAGTTGTCAGATGTGTAGCTTCTTTGTTGTGCCATCGTAGACAGGTGTGAGAAGATTTTAATATGTGTTTTGCTGTATATTTTTGGCAAAACGCGGACAAGGATGTGCGTCATGAGGCTAGCAACCCCATCCTGTAAAAATTAAACACTGCTACAGAAACTTCAAGCCACTAGCTTGAAGCCCTATGTTCCACTGGGGAACGTGAAGGAAAGCAAATTATTAACATTTCATACTTCGGTGTTTGAAAGGTAATAGAGAAAACACTGCAAGATGAACGCATTCGGAATATAAGTATTACAACTTATAATTTAAGTCACCATCAGTTTATATTCTATCAAACTATGAAAAAAATAACGGGGATGATAAACGACAGAAAACAGAAAAATTGAATACACCTTGTCAGCTTGTGTTTCTACATGGCAACTCAAGAAGGTTAAAGTTCATCAAATTGAAAACTCGCTCAGTGAATTCAGCCCACTAGTATGTATGACTAATCAGTGTATTCAAAGTAATATGATTACCAAGGAAGCGAGAGATTGATCACAATCTCTTTCTGTATGCATAAGTTTGGTCTGAGACGCTTGACTGCAATTGCTTCAGCTGTAAATTGTAGTAGATTCGCTGTCTTTTTTATGTTTAGTATTTTAAAGGATTTAAAAATCTTGACGAAATGACCTGTATCCCATGGTGGGTGTCTAGTAATTGCACTGTGTAAATATCTGCTTCCTTTTAAGCATAAGTGTCTTGGAATATGCTCTGAAAATTGGGTAGAAGCTCTTCTTCCTGTCCTTTCAATTTACTGGCTGCCGCAAGTGTACATACATTTATGAACGCAGTTGGAGGTAACATCAGCAGGGCACTTATCTAGTTTCGATTGGTTTATACAGCATGTAGTGCTGTATAGAGTCACCAGCTTAGTTGCAGGGAATCATTTTTTAATCGCTTCTTTCATTTTTTTGTCAATCTTTTGTGATACTGTTTAGCCTTTGAATGGGAGACGAATGAACACTTTCTTCTTTTCTACAACTGTTGGATACTTCGCTTTCTCACCTTTTTTTCTTTGCTGTACTTTAGGATGATTCCCTTTGGATACCCGTTTTCCTTGAGACATTTTTCAACAGAGTTTAATTCTTCTTCTACCTTGTTAGGCGAACATAACTTCCTGGCTGTGTTGTACAGTGAGTGAGTGTACTTACTAATTCCCGCTTATAGCTTATGGGGCAGAAGTTGTTATAGTGCAGATATTTTCCAGTCGGTGTTCCTTTTCTGTAGATGGATTTTCTACTGTTCCACCGTTTCTTCTTCTTCTTCTTACCTTATGGTTCAGGAAATTGAAATCATCGTTGTGTTCATATTCTATGGTGATTTTATTGTTGTTTGACGGGATCCAATGAAGCGGTTAAATAATACAGATGAATAATCCATGTTGTTACAAACAGCAAACATATCATTGACATATCGACGATAGTATGTTGTTTGATTGTTAGCATTACTCAGCCGGGTTTGTTCGAGATAACCCATGAAGATATCGCCTAGAATAGGTAGGTCCTAGAGGTGAACTCATGGCCAATCCATCAATTTGTCAATAGAATTGGTTGTTGAATTTGAATTCGATGTCTTTTGTGGAAGGAACTAATAGGGGCTTCATCTGTATTCTCTCGTCCCCCTTACCTTTTCATAGTTTCATAGCATGTAAATTGTTAATGACTTAAACTAAAGCGTGTCATAATGCTTATAATATTCCGGATGTGTTCATCTTACAATGCTTTCTGTATCACCTTTCAAACATTGAAGTATGAAGTATGTTTTTATTATTTATAATCATTGTAATTTCAGGTATTGGTTTGCAGCCAGCTGATGAGAGCCTGTGAAATGCAATGACGACATCATTTAAGAATGCAAATCTAGTCTTTCTTTCTCTATCGATATTCATATTTGTAATCTGCTCATTTATATCGTCGGTGCACGGTTAGGTCTCACACACACATATACTCTTCATAATTTAGCCATCTTGGAATAACATTTTTACATATATATGTGATGTAATATATATGTTAGGACTATAACATGTGTATTTTGTATCATTTCTAATTGTCTTCTCATCGATTTTTCATCCCATACTCATTTTCTCCCTCTCTCTCTCTCTCTGTTTCTCTCCATTGTTTGCTTACGCGTCTTCACTACACATGCGTGGGTACATTTGTTTTTTAAAAAACAAATCTGTTTTTACCGCCCGCTATCACCGCCATTGTTGTGATTCTCGTTGTTTGCTTGCCATATCTCCTTTGTATTTGTGTGTGTGTGTGTGTGTGCGTGTGCGCGTTTTCTATCACCGTCGCCGCCACTGCCGCCGCGCCATTACTGCTGCTCTGTCTCTCCCTCTCTTTCGCTCTTGCTTGCCATTTATCATGATTTAAACATCTGATCCGATCAATTTTTCGTTGTTGTTGTTGTGGTTGCGATTTTTGTTCTTGATCGCTGTTCACTGATCGATTCAAATGCCCATATATATATATGTATATAATATAACACATGTTTTATAATGGAACCAATTTTTGCTTGTGCGTTGATTGTTCCCCCTCTTTTGGTGCCTAGTACTTAGGTTATATTTCTTTAGACACATTAAGAAAGTATGAACAATGTCAAGGTTCAATTAACAATAATATTAATAATAATCATAACCCAGTGAATTACAATCCACATTCTAGTCAACCTTCTGAAAGTTCCAAAAGTAACAATTATAGTGATGGTAATCACTCATATACACCGTATTATCCAACATTTCATGAACAATATAAACGACATGATTCTTCAACAATCTTGACACAACAACAACAACAACAACAACCATCATCTCCACCTCCAGAATTCCTCCAGTTACCTTATCATCCAGAATTTCATGATACCACCTGGGATTATTTACATAGAAAACAACGTATTGATGAAGATAATCGTTTTGTTGAACATCATAATCATCAAACGAGTATTGTTCAAGAACCTCAGAGTGTACTTCAACCTCAATTGAATCTTTCATTATCAGGGATTAGATATGATCAAGAGAAAAGTAAAAGAAAATGTGTATATCATCAGGAAAAGCAACATCAACCTCAGAACCTCATCAACATCATCATCACCATCATCAACATCAGGAACCTCAGCAACACGAAGTACATCATGACACAGCTCAGATAAAAACTTCTGAGGATCAACATCAAGAGCGCAGTCACCACGACCACCATCATCATCATCACGATCACCGTCATCATCATGAAGAGAATCAAAGTATTGAGCGAAGTCATCAACACTTTGAACATCAGAATATCGAGCATCAACATATTCATCGAAATGAAGAAAATAATCCCCAGCACAATGATTGTCATATTTCCATTGACGATAATTATCAACCAAGTACAGATAAATCAACTACTGAAGTTAAACCTGAGGATAAAGAATCTCCTCCGACAAATGCATCATCATCATCATCGACTGATGAGAAACCATCAATCTTAATACATCCGCTATTAGCAGAATCATTGAATAAAACACCATCATTGAAATTAGAAACACACTATTCATTAAATTGTTATAAATGTCATGAAGAAATGATTAGACAACAACAACGACACCAACAATATCAACACCATCAATCTCGATCACAGCATACAACAAGTAATCCACTGAAGACAAGAAAATATACTTCAGAGAAAGATTTAAGCCTAAAACAAATCACAAAAAAGATAAATAGACGACATAGTTGTTATGGGTTATTTGTAAAACCGTCTATAGCCAGAAAGATTATTTCTCCAATGCAAAGAATGAAGACTTCGTCGACTCATGATGATATCCAACAGAAAGCTGTCAATGAAATTGATGACAACAAGTTGATTACAACATCAGTCGGACAGAAACAAACTCGTGCATCTACTGAGAAAGATAAATTCATGAAACTTTCTACAAGTGAAAATGTTTTAAATCATAATGCAGATAAAACATCAAGTCATGCTAAGCAGGAATCATCGAAATTATTCGACAACATGAGCGATATTCCCATGAGTAGTCATTTGCATAGTTTAGATTTAGCCTCACCCTCACCTAAACTATTGACTCCCTCAATTATTGATCACCAGCCTGATGTTAAGGTCATCAATGGGTCAAATTTGTATGAAATGCCTACAGAGAAAGAAAACGAAAAGGTTAATTCTATTTCAATACATAAAATCGATCGTATGCTTTATAAACGAAGCATATCGAATGAAGAGAGTAGACAACGCTTGAATAGTACTTCTCTGAATTCTCATCAGCTGGAGAATAACAATCGTTTACATCGATCAAAAGTGAAATGTATGTCATTAGGCGAAATGATGATGAACACATCGTCAAGTGGTAGAACATCGTTGTCCTCAATATCGTTGCAGCCATTATCCACGTCACAATCAATAGGCTCTTGTCATCAGGGAGAGAAGATGACTTCACAAAATGATTTCAAAAAAATGACAATAAAATTAAGATCAAAAAGTTTGAAAAGACGTTCATCGGATAAGATAACCAATAGAAGAGGTAGAAGAAGACAGCAGGATTTGTCTTCTTCTTCGGAAAAGGAGACATCTTTTTACATTCATAAGAAAAATCCATTCAGTATAATTACATCACATTATCTTAGCTCTAGACAGACAATATATCGACGGCATACGGTAAATGATAGTCAGAGGGGAAAGAAAGTTTTTTTTCTTTTTTTCAATGCCTTTCGTTTGCCTTTAATTTGCATGAATATACACTCTTATCTATTTAATATGGATGTAAAACTTTGGCGGCACTGTGCTAGTATCTGATTTCATATTATAATTTGTTTATTAGATATATCACACACACAGTCAGTGAGTGAAACAGTAATACTGAGGTTTCCAACGTAATTCATTATTGTTCATAATCGTATCATCAATTATATCAGATTACGCAACTTCAAAATTTTCGTTTTTATAGTTTTCTTTATTCCCTGGAAAGTCAGGAAGGGGAGCTTCCAATGTTAGATTGTAGTGTAAAAAAGGAAGGAAGATGTAAAGTGAAACATACTAGTGTTTACATGAAACTCACACATTCTAACCGAGATTTGGATTTCAGATCATCTCCCCCACACTCCACTCTATGTCAGTAAAGTAGGAATGTTGAGATATTTAAGTAATAGGACATAAAAGCTAAGTAGTACCAGGGAAAATTTAATACAGAAAGTGAGGCATATAAGAGGGGAAGCTTTGAAACCTATTAATTACCCTGATAAATTAGTTAGAAAATATGTAGGGAAAAGTAAAATAAAAATTATAATATTGATGAAGACATGCATGTCCAACATGCGCAGGATAATGACAACACCAACAATAATGACTTTGAATCATAAGTAGTACTCTCGTACCAAGAAGGAACCTCGGAAACCCCCTTAAATGCAATTAATTACAAGGCAGGCAGAAATAAACCTGGCTGGCATTCATACCACCCAAAAAATTAAATGAAAACAAGGTTTTATAAAAATTATATTTGTAAAATCTCAGCGAGATTGATAAGTAATTTCAACGTTTCGTTCGGCGATTTGGTCCGAACTTCTTCAGGGAAATTAATCGAAATTAACATAACAGAGGTTTATATATAAAAGGAACATCTCTTGTTTTTAAAAACTTTGTCCAATCGTGAGTCATAAAACAAGTATCAACAAGTATAATAAACAAAATTCTATGAGATTTGATCAAAATTTGACCTCGGACTTACAAATATTGGTCTACCTTTGTTAAACACTTTAAACACAGTGTGTATGTGTGTGTGTGTGTGTGCGGATTGCCGAACGAAACGTTGGAATCGCTCATTTAAATCTCGCTGAGATTTTACAAATATAATTTTTTATAAATGTCTACTTCTCACTCGGCGCCCAAATATTTTAGAACTATTCTATCGAATCTTGACGACAGTCCATTTGAAAACAAGATGGAGGATCAATGCTGTGGAGCCAATTAAACAAAACAATTTAGTTTATCTAGTACGCTTCCTGGAATGTTTGTCAGATCAGTTAGGCAGGACGAAGTAGTAGAACGGGGTCAGGGGACTAGCGGAGCAACACCAAAACCAGAAAAATCTAGATTAGTTGATCCGAACTGGATAAGAAATCTGGAGAATAGGCTAGGACAGCTACAACAGTAACCACATGCAATTACACACAACCATACAATAGGATGGATGGGATAATATGACAGTTTTGAAGTCTAATGTAACAGCAGGGCGGGGGGACAGATTGACGACGGAATATGTGTAATAGGAATGATTCAACACCTGTCCACCAGGACATCTGGAAAATTCTACCACCCCAACAACCATAAACAGGAAAGAATAAGGAAAACTAAAGAAAACAAAAGTTTCTATGTTGTGTCATTATAATTGGTGATACGATTGTGAAGTATAGTGAATTGTTTACAGGATTTCATCATGAGCTGATATTGGTTACAGAACCATTGGAAAAGCAACAGGGAGTACTGGACGACCAGCTGTTTCGTCCTAGTTTGGGACTCTTCATCAGGACGCACCCACACCAGGGTTCGAACCCAGGGCCTTCTGGTTACAAGGCCAGCTCGTATACAATTAAGCCATTGGGACGCCGTCATCCAGTACACAGTAATATTGTTTCACTCCCTGGCTGCGTGTCTGATATCCCTAATGAACAAATTAATACGGAGTTACTGTCTGTTGTCATTTTCCCCAGGTACCTCTCTTTGTCTGCCTTAGACACCCTCTCAGCGCCATCATCATCATCATCTTCCTAATCGTGCATGCTATTCTTTGCAGTTTTATTTAAATGTTAAAATTAGTAAAATAGTTAACTTTTGTTGATTACTACTCACACGCAATCACCTAGTAGTAGTAGTACGTCGTTATACACATACGTGTTTGTCTCTGCGTGTCTCTGTGTCTGTCTGTCTGTCTATCTATGTGTGTGTGCGTGTGTGTAGAAATTAAGTTTACTCGTCTATTTAAAACAATTAGTCCCTTTTATAAATTTTGATAGCGTTATTAGAAGACGGAGACTGTCTGAAAAATGTGATGTATTAGCGCTATACATTTCGAACAATCTGATCACACATTTACTTGTCAAGTCAATATATATAGAAAGGTTAAATTAAACAAAGTGAGAGAAAACGGAATTAAGAATAATTAACACAAACGTTTGGTAATCCAATCAAATAAGGATTACCAAGGTAGGTTAAGAGTAATGACAAACTGTTTTTGAATACACAAGGGGGGCTTAAGTCTATGAATAGCTATAGCCTCTGCGTATTTCAATAAACGCCCTTGACCGTTTTTATAGATGACCTTAAAGGCTGAGTTAACATCAATCTTATGGTTCATCTCGATTAGATGTTTAGCTATAGACGAATTTGGTAGTCTGCCACCTGCATCTATTAGCTTGTCACAATTCATCTGTTTTTCTAACCATTTTGGGATATGCTCTCCCACCCTCACGTGCAAAGCGCGATTACTCCTCCCTATGTATGTATGTCCACACACACACGAAAATTGGTAAATTGTATGGGATGTGATATAATCACTTGTGCACTTTTGGGGTTTACAGTGAAGCATATTTTTGGCTTTTTCCACAATTACAAGCTGGGCAGCATAGTAGGTCCTACGGATGATTGAATTCAACCTTTGTCTCACAATCCTACTGTTTATTTCCCCGTTATATGGTAATTTGATAAAAACCTTTTTCTTAGGGACGGTATGGATTGTAGGTTTAGAGGCTAGTTGACTTCTACTTCCCTAAGAAAAAGGTTTTTATCAAATTACCATATAACGGGGAAATAAACAGTAGGATTGTGAGACAAAGGTTGAATTCAATCATCCGTAGGACCTACTATGCTGCCCAGCTTGTAATTGTGGAAAAAGCCAAAAATATGCTTCACTGTAAACCCCAAAAGTGCACAAGTGATTATATCACATCCCATACAATTTACCAATTTTCGTGTGTGTGTGGACATACATACATAGGGAGGAGTAATCGCGCTTTGCACGTGAGGGTGGGAGAGCATATCCCAAAATGGTTAGAAAAACAGATGAATTGTGACAAGCTAATAGATGCAGGTGGCAGACTACCAAATTCGTCTATAGCTAAACATCTAATCGAGATGAACCATAAGATTGATGTTAACTCAGCCTTTAAGGTCATCTATAAAAACGGTCAAGGGCGTTTATTGAAATACGCAGAGGCTATAGCTATTCATAGACTTAAGCCCCCCTTGTGTATTCAAAAACAGTTTGTCATTACTCTTAACCTACCTTGGTAATCCTTATTTGATTGGATTACCAAACGTTTGTGTTAATTATTCTTAATTCCGTTTTCTCTCACTTTGTTTAATTTAACCTTTCTATATATATTGACTTGACAAGTAAATGTGTGATCAGATTGTTCGAAATGTATAGCGCTAATACATCACATTTTTCAGACAGTCTCCGTCTTCTAATAACGCTATCAAAATTTACTCGTCTATACTGCTTTTTTATTACTTTGATTCATGTGTTCAAGTTTTTCACTGAATTCAGCTCTGCTTGTATTCGTCTGTGTGCGTGTGTGTAAGGGTGAGTGGGTGGGTGCGTGCGTACGTGTTTCATTTGGCTTTGATGTTCTCCACTGCTTTTAAAATCTACCTTACATGAATCAGTACTACTTCATAGATATTGAGCTAGATTTTGTTGAAATCCAGCATCACTTAGTAAACTAATGTAAACCAATAGGTTGGTTGTTTCGTCCCACATTGAGTCTCTTCAAGTTTTGGGATTAAACCCGTGAATCTTTTGACCATTCAGTCAATTTTATTCGATTCCTGGATGTCGCCATTGTTTGTAAACTGATGAATATTGCTAAACTAGCTTCCAAGTACTATTCCGTCATTTTCAACGGCTGATATGTCGACGGTTCATGATGAAATTCACATGACGAAATTGATCCAAATTCCAGGAAAAAACCAAAGATTAAATATAGGAGTTAATTTCAACTGTGATTTAAAACACTCAAAGAATAATCAGTCACTTGGGATTATTTGACGCTATGACTAAGAAACGCATGTTTAAAACTTTCTAAACAGAAGACTATAAGTAGACCGTTAGTGGAGATGTATCACTTTGGTTTAAAAGTTTAATTTCAGAAAATGGGTCTTGAGTTCAAGTTTCATATCAGCCACTGCAACCTAATCAAGTAAGCACTATCACCAGTCTCCAGATATACTTCTTTTTCCTATTCCTTCGTGTTTTCGATGGACCAGTGAGTTTCCGGTTGGAGCTTTGAAGTTTCAGTAGCGTCAGTGGGATTGCTAGCCTAACAAACTAAACCGTCCTTGAGAACTGGGCTTATTACAGGTTAAGTGAGATTTAGGGGTGAAACGATGAAGAATCCAACCTAAGACTAATTAGCCTGGTCGTGACGAGCATTCTTTCATAAAATCACTGACGTACTAACTCACAGATGAGTTCATCAAAAATTCATTCAGGGGAATTGAGGAGTTCTGCCTTAAAAAGAAATTTGGGTCCAAAGGGTGACACACAGAATGTGATAGTGATCTTGGTAAAAATAATTCTGTATTACTATTAAAACAAAAACTTTGTACACCTCAAAATTCCTATGGTTAGTACGGCGGATAGAACGCCTGGACTGAAGCGGGCG